TTATTTTTACTTCATCACCTTTATCTACCCCTATTTTATAATCATTCTTATCTACACTCTTAAAAATGAAGGTTACTCCAGGGTTTATATAGAACCATAAACAATCAAAGAACAACAAAAGGTTCAATGTCAAGCTTCTAACAACAGAAGAAACCTTTTCAAAAAGGTTCTATAAATGTAATCATATACAACACATTCTCCAACAGTCTGAAGAACCATTTCACAATGCAAAGAACCATTTAGGGATGCAAATGGTTCATTTAGTGTTCATGGTTCTATACAGAACCACTGTCTTTTTAACGTCATTAGGTATGTCTGAATGATTAATTGTGCATTATAAGTTGAGCTAGTACGTAATTGGAAGGTTATATGTTATGAAGGTTGTGTGAAAATCACTATTAATTGCATTATTATTAATTTTAATATGGCACAAAAACACCTCTTGAAGAACTAGCTATACAAATTATTATACTATTTTTACTAGAACCATTAACAGAACACTCAAAGAACCATTTTTATATGCTTAGATGGTTCTCTACATGGTGACATGGTTCTTCAGATTGATGGAAAATCTGTTGAACGTGGTTTTTCAGACTGATGAATGTGTTGTATGTGGTTCTATATAGAACACTTTGAAAAGTGAAAACTTGTCTAACACTTATTAGCCTCTTATTAGTGATGAACGAAACTACTTTGGAATATGGAACAGATCTCGAAGTATCTTTTAAACTCTTATTAGCCCTAAAGCCATCTCCAGAAGTCACTTGATGCTACCTTAAATCTATAGGAATAAAAATGTTACCAATTATCCACTAATTAGAAATGAGTTTAGATGATTAATTCATGCTCAATCACTTCTTTAAGTGTTTATTATGTATAATTACAGCTATTTCTGTGAAGATTAGTGATTTTCACATAACAGACGTCCTACTGAGTACAAATACAGGTCATAATGAGAAAAGCTTGATACACAGTGAAGTGTCTAAAGTGGGCTTTACTGAAAAAACATGACCATAATGATACTGTGCTTTTTAATTGAGTAATTCAGGGTCTAACCTGAGGCACCTCAGCAGTTTCAGTTTTGTCTCCAGGCAAAGGTTCTTCATTCCACGTTTACAGCTTTAACAATCTGTTCTGTGTGGAAGGCGGTTAGTAACATGATACTCACCGTCCCCAACAAGTATGGGAAAGGGCCGGGGTTTTCTTCCTCAATGTTGAAGCTGTCAATGATCCAGGCTCTCTTCTGCCTGATCCTGCTGTGAACTGCTACAGAGCAGATACACTGAAAGACAGAGAGAAGTTTTTATGAGTTAGTCAAGCAAGAATGAAAACTAGAGAACATCTACCAGAACACCACTGATCTAAAAGCAAAAGTCAGTTTCCTGCCTTTCAATAGATGTAGTGTGTTTGACCCCACTTTTAAATGATGGCTCAAATCTTCATATGACAGGAAAATTCTGTAAGATTTGGTTAGCTAGTATGACTGGAGCCAAAAAATGATTGGTTCACTGCTGGCTTCCACCTCATAAACTTTCAATTAGACATCTAGATCTAGAACAATTATAGCTAGATACCAATTAAACAACAAACAAAACAATTACCTACTTTTATTGTATCATGTGTATGATGATGATTATTATTATTATTATTATTATTATTATTATTAGTAGTAGTAGTAGTAGTAGTGGTAGTAGTAGTAGTAGTTGTTGTAGTAGTATTTTTATGTTTTTTTATTCAACCTATATTAATGTTTAATTTCATCTTTGTATTGTTTAACATGATCCTGTATATCCAGAGCAAAATAAACACATCTTTTGCTCAAATTGCATTGTATTGTAATGCTGTTGATAAAATAAACATAGTAAGTTACAAAAATGTACACAACACATTTGGTGTCCAAAATTTGCTTCTTTAGTTTTAGTACTGGAGCTATGAAGCTTATGCAGCTAACAAGTAATATAAGCTTATACTCCACCAATTATCATGGTGCTGACTGCAAAACATTTGCCTCAGAGCATGTGGAGTTGTTTATTATCTATAATAGACTTGATTGTGAGGTTTTTGACACTGCATGCCTCACTCTTATCTATAAACATGACCAAAAGCACATTAGCATAAAGCTAAAAACAGTAGCAGCAGCCCTCGTAAAGCCTGAAGTTTGTACCATTCGGAGAGAACAAAAGAATGAAGCTGGGGACTGACTGGCGTTTGAGAATGACTGAAACCAATCTGGCTTTAAGGAGGAAGAAATTCTGCCTCAGAAACAACTGCTCCACCTGCCCCGAGGCTAACTTTCCTTCTCAGAAACACACAGTCATCACCATGAATCTATTTACTCTCAGTTATTATGTATTAGTTTGCTTTTAGTGTGAACAATGTCTGTCCTGCTCGGTAGGCCAACAAACCTTTTAGTATGTACAATTTAAAGTAAAAACTATATATATAGTCCTGACCTCAACATCTCTGAATGTATTTGCATTAGTTCAGAAAATGACCAACCAACTTCTAAGACTGAACTTTGGAGGTGTGTCTGCAGATTTCTTTGAGAAACTGAAAGTGAGTCTTCTGAAAAGAATGGCAGCTGTAATAACACACTAATTACTGGAAACTGTCTTTTTATATTTATGTAATTATAAATGTAGAGTGAACAAGCTGGATCACACAGAATGATGTTATTACAAGACATTTGTCACATAAGTTTTATTTGCCTTAAAACATGAGGATTATTACATATTAAATTTTATTATTCAGTACCTACAGGGACTTCAATGCAAACTAGTTGAGCTATTCTTAGGTTTCAAATTTCTGCATGATTCAGTGGTTGAGATTGAAAACAAAGTCCTTCAGAGTGGTTTGGTGTGAAATGCCTTGTTCTAGAGAAAAATACCAGTCCTTATTTTACAGTGTTGGTGAAATGAACCAGCGGTCACCATGTCTACAAAAGAAACATATATTCTTGAAAAAGGTGTTTTTTCAAGGGTTCTTTAGTATAGAACCATGAACACTCACAGAACCCTTTTCATGCTTAACCCCCTAAAATCTCAGGCTTATTACATACTAAGGTTTATTATTCAGTAACCAGTGGTGGATGAAGTACACAAATCATGTACTTGAGTTAAAGTAGAGATACTCAAAGTAAAATATTACTCCAGTAAAAGTAGAAGTCCTCCTTTTAGACCTCCACTTGTAAAAGAGTAAAAGTACAGAAGTGTTTGCCTTCAAATGTACTCAAGTATCAAAAGTAAAAGTACTAAAAGATTAATTCTGACTTTAATGTCCTATTATCATTTTTGTAACAAGACTCTGCTTCATTAACTCATTTTAGGTGAAAATACTCAAGTGTCACTCTTGGTAAACCAGTCTTCTAATAGAATGTCATTAGTCTGTCACTGATGTCTATTAAAATGGTCATAAGAACAAAACACTGAAGGTGAACAATTTCCATTAGGTAGAACCAAGTGGCTGTGAAATAACTATTTGCAAACAAGCAAAGTTTCGGTTTAAGATTTGTTTGCAACTTTGTTACAAGTTTAAGTTTAATAAAAACTTGCTTTAAACACAGATTCACAGATGAGTTTTACCTTTACTATATTGCATCTGTAGGTCTCTGTTCATAAACATAAACTAGCCAAAACAAATTTACTATAAAATGAAATAGTGTTTGTATAAATTCAGAAAAAAGACACATGCCAGTCACAACTGCATATGTGTACATATTTCTATATTGTGGTCTATTTACACAAAGTTAATTCCAAGGTTAATTCCATAATTTATGTAGGAATAGGCACTCCCAAAATTTTACACTGCTGCACTGACGTTGAACTGTATGCTTTTACTGGGTAGCTATGTCCAAAAGGTCAAAACAAGCTCAAAACAAAGTGCGCACTGTACCCTGATTGGTGTGCTGCTTCACACTTCTTTCATTTTGATGTTAGGTTTTTATACACAGATAAGCCAAAAGGAACAACAGATGTCGCATAATGTAGAGGAGTAAAAAATAAGACATTTGACTTTGAAATGTAGCGGAGTGAAAGTAGAAAGTTGTCCTATATGGAAATACTTCAGTAAAGATACGCAAAAAAACTACTGAGTACAGTAATGAAGTAATAGTGCAAACTGACTGAGCTATTCTTAGATTATAAAAGTGTGAAAAAAAATTTTGGGTCATTTAAGGAGTTAAAAGGGGTTCTGCTATTGTGTTCTGTAGTGAACCACTGTCTTTGCCAAAGAATCCTAAGCCATTTTATTTTCTTTCCAAAACTGCCTGTGAACCTGCATGCAGTTTCTTTGTTTTATATGCAGTGTTTTTCTTTATGTTACTCTGGATGTATTCCTGGATTTTGAAAAATATGTTTAAGGCCAAAATCATCTCTCAAAACTTTCGTGAAGACAAACTTTCTGTGAGGGAGCTTTTAGGCTACATTCACATTATAGGCCTCAATGTGCAATCCAAGTTTTCGCTCGGATCTGATCTCTCTAGCATGATGGTTCACACTCGTTTAGGTAAGTGACTCAAATCTGTTATTAATGGGAACGAACCGGTGTCCTGAAATGACCCACGTCCTAATCAGTAACATCAAGTGAACGAATCACACGTGTCATGAACCGCAAACAAACTAATGTGCAGAACGAGCCTTTGCTGTGAAGATAATTAACTCTGATCAGCTCTCTGAACACTGAATGACAGCACATTGAGTGCTGAGAGTCCTCATTAAGGTCACATGGCCAAGAATCGGTACGTATCTGATCTAGGACCACAAATGAAAATATCTCAGGTCTGTTTTGAAAAGATCAGATTTGTGTGTCCACACAGCTCTGAAAACATCAGAGTCACTTTAGAGCTAAAGATTGGATTTGTGCCACTGAACTTGGTAATGTGATTGTATCCTTAGAGGTGGCTGCCTGGTTCCTATCACCACCTCTGTGAACAACTCTGGCTCAGTTAGTTACTCTAGAACAGTGCATTTCACACCAAACCACTGTTTACATCTTAACTATTTAATTATGAAGACCTTTTGAAAGAAAAGTAGTTCCCATTTAAGGTCATTTCACTGTATTTTTGATGTGATATTAGGTAAAAAACTATTTGTTTTGAATGAAAAGCTCCAGTTGTTCCTGCCAGTTCAAGGGTCAATAATTCTAGTTTTTCAAGAGCAACATTTTTAGTGAGGGGAGTGGTGTCTGTTTTAGCTTTGTGTGCTAAATCAAACAACGCTGACAGCAGAACGTTTTTCCCTCTGAGAAGCACCTGAGGATAGAAGCAGACAGGTGGTATTCAGAGTGTCTAATCCAAGTTACACCCTCAAACATAAAGCCTTCCTGGTTCATTCATGTTTGCTATTGTTGAGGGTGTGACATTCACATACAGAAATGTGTACATTATTCTCAGGAATGGATCATTACTGTACATTCTTCAGTCTTAATAAAATGTTCCTTAGTGGTTCTTGGCTTCTAGGACACATATAGAAGTGGTAGAGCAACTTTACTTAATGTGAAGATTCTTCATCTTCCACTAAAGGTTCTTTAGGGAAATAAAAGTGGTTCTTCTCTAGGATCGCTTAAAATAACTCTTTTTGGCATCTTTGCTTTTAAGAGTTTGTTAAAAGGTTCTTGGCTTGGATATACGAATCTAAGAAGAACTCCAGTGGTATAGAACCTTTACATTATTCTTTAAAAAAGTTCTTCACGCTCACACTTCTGATTTATAAAATGGTTCTTTGAAGAACCTCACTGGTCTAGAACCTCCAAATTATATGTCAAAAAGATTCTTCATACCTGCATATCTTGTTTAAAAATAGGCTGAAGGCTTAATAAGGGAATGGAATGTTGTTCCTCTCTGCAATCTTAATTTTTATTTTAGGAATTTAAACAGTGCAATAGAAGGAAGAAATCATGGTGACCAAAATATACTTCTGTTGACCTGAAAGAACCAATGTTCACCATCAAAAATTATTTATCTTTCGGCCTGTACACTGGAGCGTATTCATTAAGGCTCAGTTAGCAACTCAGCTTTAACAGTCACACTGTAACAATTCTGCAGTTTTTAAACATACAAAAGTGAATAACCCAGTTTACTAGAAATTTTGAGTAATTAAATCTACAGTATTGCGTTAACAGAAGAATCATTTGTGTTTTATTTTTGTTAACATATTAATTGAAGTTCAGTAAACTCAATATTTCAAGTTATATTTTTTCAGTTTAAAGGCAGCAAATTTTTTTATGGTGTGCTAATTTGGGGTGTGTAGATAACTCTAAATCTTTACTCAGTAAATATGCTGATACTTCAGGAAAAAGCACTTTTCCAAAAACAGCTTGAAGGGAAGTATGAAAGAACACACTTGAAAAAATGGTTCTGTAAGGATTGGAAAGAAAATGTTTCAGTTAAGAACCACTTCATGCTTAAATGTCAAGCAAATTGATGTAAAATATGTTGTATACGGTTCTATATAGAACCTTTTCTAAAATGGCTCTGTGAAGCACCAAAAATGGTTCTTCTATTATTATAAGCTTGACTTCATAACAATAGTAGAATCATTTTTCGTGCTAAATAGAACCATTTTCAAAAAGGTTCCATATAGATCCACATATAGGTTCTTTAGTAAAGGCAATGGTTCTATTTAGAACCATGAACACACAAAGAGCCATTTGCATGCTTAAATGGTTCCTTACATGGAGAAATTGTTCTTCACAGCACCAAAAAATGGTTCTGCTATTGTTACGTTGTCATCTTGTAACAAGAAAAGAACCCTTTTTGGTGCTATTTAGAACCATTTTCAAAAAGGTTCTATATACAGTCATATCTGACACATTCTCTATCAATCTGAAGAAACATTTCACCATGTAAAGAACCATTTAAGCACAAAATGGTTCTATACAGAACTCAGGGCTAAAAGGAACCATAACACTAACTACGTACTGAGCAGGTTCTATAACTGTTGTGGAACCTTTTTTTTTTGATCAAAAAATGAAACTTTAAAGCTCAAGTCATTCAAGCATCTGAACCAGCACAACAAAATGAAATAAAACCCAAAAATGAGGAACTAAATGCTAATGACTAGATATTAAATACTTAACTCACTAATGCACTTAAGTAGAAGTATTGTCCTTTGAAAGCACTCAGGTCAAAAGTCCAAGTATATATTTTTTGAGAAAATGGAACTGAGTAAATATAAGTTACTGAAACACATTTGTTTGGCTTAAAAAAAGTACAGCCTAGTCCTTCTTTGATGACTGTATAATTCTGACTGCTAGTAATAAATGAATGTTCTACCATCTCACAACTCAAGCTTTGTTCAAAAGTTAGTGTGTCCTACTGTATTTACATTCTCCCACCAGTCAGCCCTGACTGCACTGCAGAATATGATAATGTAAAGGTTTTAACAGAAACCACAGTCCAGATATGACATCCAGCACAGATACTCACCACAGCGAGGAAGAGAGCAAGAGTTAGTTTCCTCATATTGTACTGGACAGTTGTGTGTGATCATGTGGCAGAGAAAGAACTGCTCTTTCCTCTCTGCAGGTTCCACTGCTATCCTCTTACAGTAAGGGGAGGAGGGTGGGGGGGGGGTGGGTATTCTAATGAAGGAGGCCTGCCAACATGACATCATCAACCATAGCCAAGTACAGGATATAGACTCAGTACGAGGAGAGTGGAGGTGTGGAGGTGTGCCTGAATATTACATATCACATTTTATTTTGTGTAGTGTATACTTACATAATTTACTTACCTAGTAACTTACCTAGTTACTGACACACACACTCACTCCTGGGCAAAAGAATGCATGTTTATGTGTATATATACATCTCACCGTTGTCGGAAGAAAACCTTGCATCGCCAAACTGGTAACTTTACAGGAGAAGGAAAAAACCTACTTTACTTTTAATGTAAGTCCATTCATCATGAAATTTACATACAATGTAAAAGGCAACAAGTATTTTCAAATTATCTCAAAATCTGAAAAAATGACAAAAATGGAGATACTGGCAGCAGCAATATATATATATATATATATATATATATATATATATATAGATATATATATATATATATATATAGATATAGATGTATACACTACATATATATCGCTGTTATCAGAAGAAAACCTTGTATCTCAATTTTTTGATGTTCTTCAGTTTTTGACATCATTTGAAAATAGCTGTTGCCTTTTACATTGTATGTAAATTTTATGATGAATAGACTGAAAGGAATGACCCACAACTACTTGGAAGAAAATCTGGTTCCACTGACTTACATTGAAAGTAAAGTAGGTTTTTTCCTTCTCCTGTAAAGTTACCGTTTTGAAGATAAAAGGTTTTCTTTTGACAACAGCAATATGTATGAATATATATAAAATGGCTGTGCCACTTGTTTTGGTACATTCATCATGAAATTTTCAAATTTTGTCAAAAAAACAGAAAAACGACTAAAATGTAGATATGAGGTTTTGATCTGACAGCATCAATATATATCCACCTCCAATAAGAATTACAACATACTTTCCAAAATCTACTAAAGTTATCTGTAAATACTCTTGTGTAACAGTGAAACAGGTAGCTACTCAGCACTGTCAGGTCTTCCTGCAGGACTGTGTTTCATTAAAGTTAACTGAGTTTGTTAAAGTGTTACTCAGAAGGCAATAATATGAAAACGTGTTTCTCTCCATTTCCAATAGATACGTCTTTCTCGGTGTCTGTGGAGTAGTGGACTGGCCAGGGTACTGCTATAAGATCCTAAACTATGACCACCAAAACTCCTGTAAACTTTCTGACTGATAACACAAGCTGTGCATCTGCGTTAACATCTAACAGCAATAAAAATGCGCTTGGTGTTACTGTGTGACTTAAAAGCAGCAAAGATAAAACAGCACACAAGAAATGGTTCTGTGACACAAATAAAAGAAAAAAAAAGATCAATATCAGTGAAATGTCTCTGTATTTTCTCATTTGTAAAGCACTTTGAATGACCTCAGTGTTTGAAAGGTGCTAGACAGATAGATAGATAGATAGATAGATAGATAGATAGATAGATAGATAGTTAGATAGATAGATAGATAGATAGCTAGATAGATAGATAGATAGATAGATAGATAGAACTTTATTGACCCCAAAGGGAAATTGCAGTGTTACAGTAGCAAGACATTTAATTGCACATAAACAGACATACATTGGGCAGATAAAAATGAAAAAAATATCAAAATAATAAACATATTTATTTATATAAATAAACTTGATAATTATTCCATTTTGGGCTGTTTTACTCTGTCTTGGTCTGCTATATGTACATTTACATATCTACTCTACATTACACAGACGTTAAGACCGAAGGCTACAGCCTCATTGCACACAATTATCTTCTTTCGCAACTGCTCAGGTAAGTCAAAGGTAAGTGTAATTATAGCTTAAAGCAGCGTTCTGCAGGCAGGGCCATCAGCAGAGAAGAAGAGCAGCAGCTGTCTGATATATCAATATTAATAACATCAGTTCAACTGTGAAGAGCAGTTCAGTCACACACCATTACCAGTTTTTATGACAGAAATCAAATAAAAATGCTGGATGGCGATGTTTATATTTCAGAGTGCCTTGTAGCTTTGAGCTGAAGAGCAGAAAAGGTAATGAGAAATGATTCACCTGAAGGTGTGCTTGGTTCTCTGTGTGTCTTTCTGTTGTCCACCCCCTCAAACTCTTTCTCAATCATTAGATCAAACCGGCTCCGTTAATGTTGGAGGAGAATTCAGTTGTGAGTCAAACATACTGCAGAATAAGGAACGGCACTGAACAAGAACTCACACCTCTTTGTTTTTTCAATAAACAGTAATTTGTTTGAAAATAACCATCAAAAAGTTTCTACTTGCAATAAGACAAAAAACCAAATGTTTATTCAGAGAAAAAGCACCAAAATTCATCCTACGCTGTTAGAAATAAAGGTTCTGTGCAGGTACATCTTTCATTCATTAAGGTACAAACAATGTAAATGTAGGGGACAAACAAAGGTATAACAGTGGTTTTAAGGTCCAATTGTGAACTTTAAACAAGTGTTTCCAGGTGAAAAGTTTGTATTTGTACCTTTTCATAACCCAATGTTTTAGAACAGAACAATATAATAAAAGCCTGGAAACTTTTAATAATTTCAATAAATTATAATACAGTTATGTTCCCTCACTAAAGGTACTGAGATGTACCCTTGAGGGTTTCACCCCAGTGATAAGAGGGGTACTGTCCTAGTGACAGTTTAGTACCTTTATGTCTGAAAGTGTAGAGAAATATTAAAAGGGCAATTCCAGCAATTTTAACAATTTATTTATAATTTATACAGCTGTTATTTTACTGTTTCTTACTGTTAATATGGGTTAGTAAATTGCTGTGAAAGTGATGCAGCTAGTAGCCAGAAAGGTTTTAAGGCCAAAATCTTTTCAAAATCATCATAAAACAATGTTTAAAATGAGGCCTGACTGCCTTAAAAATTTAAGTTAACTTTTTGTTTACTTATGAAGTTTAATCTAAAATCTTTAAAATGGCCAGAGTCAGAGTCCAGGTTTGGCAGACCCAAAGTTTTATTGCACACTTCTGTAACCTAAGAATTGTTCTACCACTTTGCAATGAAGTCCCTGTAGTTACTGAATCATAAGTTTTAGTATGTAATAAGTTAATTTTAGTTTAGTTAATAAACTAAAAATGCAAAGGCAACAAGTACTTACTTTTTTAAAAGTTAAAGCTTTAATTTTTTGAATAGTATTATGGAATGAAACACTCATTCCAGAGTTGGACTTCTGGTTCCTATCACCACCACTGTGAACAATTCTGACACCAGTGCAGTTTTGTGCCAAAAATATAACAAATGGATGGAATTCCTCAGTGCGTCAGTTGTTTGCATACAAAGAAAATGTATATTTAATTAACATCACTTTTTCTTCTTTTCATATGAACTGTGTTGATGTAATACATTTTATTCACGTGCAAGCAACTGACACAGTTATATTGTGTAAAATTAAAAGCAGTAATGAATAAGTTTTCTTATCAGTCTGAATCTCCAGGCGTGCCCAGTTATGATATCTCAGAGTCGGCTGATTCGGGGCTGCTCAGAACAGGCCGGACAAGTTGGTGCAAATGCCTGAATTTGCATTTTGCTGAGCACTCGACACACTGAACACACATGAATAGAATGTGCAACTATTGTGTTTTGTTTCTTTTGGCAAGAATTTTGTTGATTTACCCTTTTATTTATGTGCAACCAATCGGCACATTCGAATCGTGTGAAATCTAAACATTAATTTTTTTGTGCATTAACAATGTCGCCACTTGCAGAAGTTCAGGCTGCATTCCTATTACAAGACGTATAGATCAGTTGAGACATTTTGGTCACACCTGATCTTTCATGAGAAGGAGAGGTGACATTGCTTTACCACAGGACGTCTGCGATATTCATGACCTATTCACCATTCAATTTACGTCCAGGACTGGTTTTGTGTAAGTCCGTACATAAGGTCTTTACTAAGTCCTTACATAACAATGGTTAGTTTCAACCTATCATTTTACTAAATTTGGTTGCACCACAAATCCTTTAATCATACATGATGATAACATGTTTAGAATAATGAATAAATGTGCTGCCATAGAAACATGACAGCAGCTTGCACTGACTTTTCCATTAGGAAACTTGAATTAGCTGACTTTACTTTACAAAGTCATGTGAACTTATTGCCTTGAAAAAAATAAGTTACTTAACAGGTTTAGACATAAATAACGTTATATTTCAGTTATAGTTACTTTCTAATTGTCTGTGATCCACACTTCTGCAGTAAAGAAGGTAGCTCAAACCATTCAATCACTATAAATGGTTCCTGGCAGTGCTCTACTTTTACAGGTTCTGCTTAATCTTAAATTAGTTCAAACACTCACCCCTGTGTGATGTACTGGCATCAATTAAAACAACTCTTCTATTTTAAATGGATTGTTTCTTACAGCCTTGTTTCAACAGACTTCTGAGAACTGTAATGGGTTCAGGCTTCTTTGCAATTGAGTTCAAAACAGTTTGAGGACTGATATTGAATACTTGATATTTTTTATGGCTGATAATTATAAATAAAAAACAACATCATGGCGAAATAAACAAACAACATCTAAAATGCATCCAAATGCAACATTTCAGTGTGATTAATGTGTTATGATTCACAGATAACATCATCTGAGAGAAGTAATAAAAATTAGAAAAATAAGAGTTAATTAACAGAAACCAACAAAACAGCTAAGAATGCCGGGAAGTGTTTTGGTCAACAGACTTTTCAGGCAGTAGGACTCCAAATAAGCTAATCTTATCTAGATTTACCTCAGTAACAAAAGGTGTTATACAAGAACTAGTACATGTTACTAAATGTGCATTATAAGTTAACACTGAATAGCTGTAGCCTCTGTTTATTCAGCATTTATAAAAGAGGGTTTCAGACAAACTGGCACAACAGCAACATCAGTTTATGTTTTAGCAGCTGCTAGGTCTCACAGAA